AATCTGAACTAACCTCATATTCATAAACTACTTAGTTGCTTAAAACCACCTCTTGAAAAACCAACTCACAATTAAAGTGCACTGATTTACTTGACTTTACTAAGTTAAAATCGCCTTAATAACTGAGAGTGCTGAATACAACCATAATTATAAACTAAATCCGCAGTAATTAGAGATCAAAGGTGAGATCACAGCACCACAATCTAAGTTAATTACCTTGCAAAGCTGGTTATGGTTAAATCTGGTTTGATCATTAGTGATAATAATTATCAGTACAACCGTGAATTCCTCCCAATACGGGTTTAAGTAAAAAAAACTCCTGCTCCGAATGTTTTTCCCGCAAATAATTATGGGGTTTCTGTTTGGTACGTAATGATATGCTATTTTTTTTTTTATTGCCGTAACAGATTTTCCCAATGGAAATTGTCACATTGCCATACCTGTAAACAGTACGCAAAATAGTTCATTACCACTCTAGAGCAGGAATGAATAATTTCTGCTCACTAATCAGCTGATTTCATAGTTGGCTCTCCTACACCCACCATTTATTATCTTTTATATGTATTTACCGTTTTGTGTGTCAACACAGTACGAGTGTAAATAAATAGGCCTATGGTATAAGTGTTATTGGACTTGTAGTAGCTTAAATAACACGTACGATACTGATCGAGTTATTCATTGTAAATTAGCAAAATTAGTTTTATAATAAAACATACAGTAGGATATTCCTTTGCCAAATAACAAGCTTAGCATACAGAATTGCCATTTATTTCACTGTTTCATTGAAATGTGAACTTATATTTAAATGACGTAAGTTTAAAACCCCTTGCTTATACAACTTCCCTTGGGCAAACTGATTTAAAATAATATAAAAAACGTCAACGATACTTTTCTTAATTTTGCAATATTACTTATTCACTGAATTTGCCCATTATCAACATTTAAGTACCTTTTAGTATGTTAAAGTGCTAATATACGTCGCACTAAATGTAACTTTCGTAAGGAACAATTGAGACGCCTAAGTTACAAGTAAACTTTTCCGTTCCTCCATTGTCCAAATATAGCGAAAGTTCTACACTAGTTCTACATTCTTTTTTATCAACCTTGTTTTGTTTATATTTAATTATGTTGCTATTTATTTTTGTAACTAGGGGTTATCATGTTGTTGTTTCGTTCTTGTTGTTTAGAGTCTATTATATTGTTAGTCTTCTTCTAGTATTTACGGAAAAGTTTGGATGTTATATTTATTATGACTCATCCTTGTTGCTCTTTTTTTCTCCAGTATTTTTCAATACTTAAGTAGCATACCAGTTAGTTTACATTCAGAAATAACTTCCTTGTAAAAAGTTAGATTTTGAGTTTTTAACTCAATAGCAAAACTCAATCTTTGTTCCTCAATTGTATATTTGTTAATAACTTAACAGCTAATAATAAGTTAATAATAATAATAAGTTAATAACTTGACTTAATAACCAACAGCTTAATTTAAATGTAAACAATACTTATTATCTTCAATAATAAATATAATAAAAAAATAAATAAAACTAGTATTTCACAAAACAACAAACTGCAGTAAAATTTAAAAGCCGCGATTCAAATTAACGCACGCTGCGGTCCGTGTAGCCGTAAATCCAATTAGTAAAAGGCTTACCCAGAATAATTACAACCACTTGACTGCCGTGTCGTCGACAAGCTTTGCAGGGCTGCAAATATTGTGCGCGTTTATTATATATTATAACTTTAGTATGAATGGAAAACAATTAAGTAAAAAAAACAAAAAACATTTTATTAATGTACTTAACATAGGAGTTGTATATCAGATAACATCAGTAGATAGTCACGACTGAAATGCATGAGCTTAGGTTGATAAAAATGTTTGTGGAGATCCTCTTATTATTAACCCTAAATATTTCTATCTTTTATGATATATTTTGTGCAATCTTATTGATATCTGGCATTTCGCGAATCCTTAGCCTTCAACCAATAATTTTAATTTTAAAATGTTAACATCATATCTCACCCCTAGGTTGAATGTTAAATTACAAGGTGGTTTCATGATAAGTAGGCTAATGGCTATATGGCAATTTTGTAACCAAATCATTCTTTTTGTAATCGCATTTTGTAATAAAATCACCTGTGCAGAACCGATTTAAAAAACGATACTAAACCCCAACAAAAAACAAAAAGTAGTCCAACTAAAAGTATTTTGAACAATATACAAAACTTGTCTCGAAATTTTGTATAAAACCAGCGCTTGGAAAATTGGTTTCGTTGTGGTCTATACCTAATTTGACATAAGCAAATATCGATAACTTTAAAATAACAACTTGTTTAGTAAGGAAAAATATAGAAAACGTAGCCTGCTTGTATCTAGAATGTTTTTAATACAAGGAAACACACGACACAATACACGAAGAGAAGTTTTCTCTTTATTTTAATGAAACCAATCACTTTCGTTCCAGTTAACTGTGATCCAATCTTCTTTTGAGAGGTTTGTTTGTCTGATTGTTTCCTGTGATTGGGTTTTCTTAAAACAAGTAACTTTAAAGGAAGGAAATTGAAGTTTATTAAATATAAGTAAATGGGTAGTATTAATATAAAATTATGTTGGGTGTTTTGTAACAAATTTATTTCTAATTGCATGTAATAACTTATCTGCCTTAATAGCTTGCCCTCATTGCATTGCGATTCTACGTGAGCTAATACAAATATACGAATGAAATACTGCTTCTTTTTAAAAGTGCAAACCTATTAATATGTTTCCAAAATTGTTGTCTACACCTAAATTAGGCTTTCAGTATTTATTACATGTTTGTTTAGTTAGTGATTCACAACAATACACAGTGTGTAAATTAAGTATTGAACCAAATCTGTATTTTTAAAACTGAAATAGATAGAAATAGGCTATTCTGTTGGTAGCAATAATTGTTAATAAAGGTTCCAATTATTATTATCAAAAATATTGTTTACCCCTCCCAACAGGGTAGGGGGTAGGGGTAATTTATTTTTTCAAATGGGAACCCATATTGAGTGACCCCTCATTTTGATGGTTTTGTTAAAAGAAAAACAATAAAGCAAACCCGAGGTGTATATCTCACCCCTAGCCAAAATGTCAGGTATTCCGAAATTTGATTTGCTGTATGTGATATGCACCAATTTCACAAATAATGGAAACAAATCTGTATTTTGGAAACTGAAATATATAGAAATATTCTGTTTCTGGAATTGATTGTCAACATAGGTTCTGCAATCTTTTCTATCAATAATATTTTGTTAACCCCTTTTACAGGGTAGGATGTGGGGGTACCTTATTTTTAAATAACAACCCATATTGAGTGACCCCTCATTTTGAAGGGTTTGTTAAAAGAAAGATAATGACGCAAATTCGAGGTATTTCACCCCTAGCCTAAATGGTGGGTATTCTTAAACTTAATTTATGCGAAAAAGAACCTATTTTGAAATATTTTGGCTAGGGGTGAGATATTCCCCTCAGATTTGCGTCATTTCTGTTTCTTTTGACAAATCCTTCAAATTGAGAGGTCACTCAATATGGGTTGCTATTTGGAAAAAAATAAGTCACCTACCCCCTACATTGTTAGGGGGGGAGGGTAAAAATATTTTGATGTAAAAAATTTCGGAATCTTTGTTAACAATTATTGCCACAAACAGAATATTTCTGTCTATTTCGGTTTTAAAATACAGATTTGTTTCAATACATTATTTACAAACTGTATTTTTAAATGCCTTACATTTTGACTCCTGTCATAAAATAAACATATATTTTGTCATTCTAAAAAGGCCAGTTGTTCTTCAAAGTGCGTCAGACGTGGATCCAATATTTTCCCTCCACTTATTGAGAAACCTAGAGAATAATTAAAACTAACTATCTATTATTTTTTAAAAACTGACATATAATCAATACAACCTGTTAACTTCACTATAAACAAGAACTATAAAGCATTAACTGCTGGGAGAGTTGAATACTACCATTTTTATAAACTGAATCCGTAGTAATTAGGCATCAAATGTAAGCTTAATGAACCACAATCTCAGATAATTACTTTGCTAAGCCGCTTGTTATTAGGTCTGGCTTGTAATCATAACGGATCATAATAATCAATATAATAGTGAGTCGCTCCTAATGAGGGTTTATAAACGAAATTCTTGCTTTAGATGATTTATTAAAGGAAGTTTAGGACACCATGGTCCTATCATAAATAATGTTAATTGATCAAATAATCAATATAAGTTGAATATTAAAATAAATTCACATAACGTGATGTATCTCCATACCTTTGGCACACAAGGTAATCTAAATTTTAATGCTCCAGATTAATTTGAACTTCATTAATATTAATATTATTGATTGTACTGGAAAATGACTTTTAGAGCACATACATAAATTTACAGTTAGTTACACTTACTAATACTATATTTCATATTACTGAATTTATCAACGACAAAACTTTTAAGGAAAAAAGGAGACCCTCAGAATAGAGTACATAATAGACGAGTGAACGAAGTGTATGAATCGTGTATGTATCGTGGTTAATTAACTAATATCAGCAGTACTAGGAGTCACTAGTATTATATCTTATATCGTTGCAGTTAACCGCAATTAAATTTATTCTTCACCGGCGAGAAGTAAAATCCCCGTGAATAAAAAAATAAAACAATAATATTGAGGATATTATGTTTATTTTACAATAGACTTGCAGTGGTTTATGGTCCGAACTGACACCAGCGACTAGTGCTAGACACCACTTAGGTGTCCCATTGAAGGTTAGCTCTGAACTTAACGTCTCTATGGTTAAAACAAATTGTTTAATCGGAGAATATTTAGTGATAACTATTTAAGATAGCTTATAAAATGTTTTCAAAAACAAAAACTACCTAAACACCTGAATAATAACCAAAACATTTTGCGATTCAAATTTTTTTACACTGCTCTCTAAATTGCTAGGACTAAGACATGGAAGGATTCAATATTAATATTTTACCTGCTCTGACTTTGCTCTCTCTCGACACGATGGCCCCGACAGCATTAGTGGCGGAACATCTGTAAGTGGCAACGTGCACCTCGTTGCTGAACTCTTCGGGAGAAAATGGCGGGAAATACAAACTGCCGTTGTTGAGCACCTCCCTGGAACAAAATGTTATCCTGTTGTTAAACCATAAACAACATTGTTAGTCAAAGTCAAAATTGAATTACTTTATGCATTATTAAATTGCCGCCTGCATTCATATTTGACTAAAAATACCTACCTTCGTATGGTCGCCATTTCAAATAAATGTATCAAGGTATTCAAATATTGTAGAATTATCTATTTCCTTAGATAGAAAAGTAAAACGAACTGTGTGAATTAGATATGTAAAAATTTGTATTGATAGTTATCAATATTTTAATATATTATGATGCTTATATATTTAAAATAAATATAACATTAAAATAAGTACATCAACGTTTAGGGAAATTCAAAAGGGTATAGTTTACTGAATTTTTTTATACGTAAATTAAAATAAATAATATTAAACAAATTTGTGAAATGAGCATTGCTTGGTTTTCGTTCCAAAATTATTGTCATTCATAGTATCTTGAGCTTTACGTGATATATTTAAGAAAAGGTGACAACAACTTAATCAACACACTCGCTAAACAACACCATTTATCCATAAAAACATTAATATAACTAATATTTTAAATTTATATTTTATCATCGAAACAATAATTATCACCACAAAATCATACATTTGACGTACGCAACTTCACTCTGTAAACCAACGCCATTCCGAACACATCGCATTATTCATGTCAGAATCACAACAAAGGCAGATTCTCTGTATGAGACACACAAAGCGAGGCCAGGTTTGTGGGAAATTCCACTCCATTGGTGGCAATATTTTACTGTGTTTATCATCCTAACTTCTGCACACTGTTGAAATACTCAGTCTAAATTTATGTTTCCCACTATGGAAAATATTAGTAGGGATATGATGAGAAATAATCCTTATCACGCTTATCAACTATATAAAATATATCACGGACTTTGAAATCTCGAAGTGGCGCAGGTTGCTGGTGATTGTTTATGTTTTGATTTTACAATTTAGTTTCTCTGTTTACATCTCTAATAAAACGAGTTCAATAAGTTAATGGAATTCATTCTTTAAAAACACAACATAAGCCTTATAAGTCTTATTAAAACATTTTTTGCAAACCTCACCTGTTAATAAAGACAACATCGCAAAGGTTGCCATGGTAATAAAAAAATTCATTTCAATTTAAAAAATCATGCCCAAAGTAATTATTTATAATTTTATTTTTTTATTTGGGCCAGTTGCTCTTATTGACATTGCCTAGTATTTTGACATACAATTTGGGTGGTTCTAGGTCTGTTCACACCGGCGTAGCCAGACGTCTGGAGACGTACGTCGCCCGTGCACTGTTCACACCACCCCTACGTCTGGCGGCTACGTAGCCGGTGAGCACCGCAGCATTCCCCCTCCACCGCCCCTACGTGTGGCGGCTACGTAGCCGGTGAGCACCGCAGCATTCCCCCTCCACCGCCACTACGTCTAGTGGCTACGTAGCCGGTGAGCCGCCGCAGCATTCCCCCTCCTCCGCCCCTACGTGTGGCGGCTACGTAGCCGGTGAGCACCGCAGCATTCCCCCTCCACCGCCACTACGTCTAGTGGCTACGTAGCCGGTGAGCCGCCGCAGCATTCCTCCTCCTCCGCCCCTACGTCTGGCGGCTACGTAGCCGGTGAGCCGCCGCAGCATTCCCCCTCCTCCGCCCCTACGTCTGGCGGCTACGTAGCCGGTGAGCCGCCGCAGCATTCCCCCTCCTCCGCCCCTACGTCTGGCGGCTACGTAGCCGGTGAGCCGCCGCAGCATTCCTCCTCCTCCGCCCCTACGTCTGGCGGCTACGTAGCCGGTGAGCCGCCGCAGCATTCCCCCTCCTCCGCCCCTACGTCTGGCGGCTACGTAGCCGGTGAGCCGCCGCAGCATTCCCCCTCCACCGCCACTACGTCTGGTGGCTACGTAGCCGGTGAGCCGCCGCAGCATTCCCCCTCCACCGCCCCTACGTCTGGCGGCTACGTAGCCGGTGAGCCGCCGCAGCATTCCCCCTCCTCCGCCCCTACGTCTGGCGGCTACGAAGCCGGTGAGCCGCCACAGCATTCCCCCTCCACCGCCACTACGTCTGGTGGCTACGTAGCCGGTGAGCCGCCGCAGCATTCCCCCTCCACGGCCACTACGTCTGGCGGCTACGTAGCCGGTGAGCCGCCGCAGCATTCCCCCTCCTCCGCCCCTACGTCTGGCGGCTACGTAGCCGGTGAGCCGCCGCAGCATTCCTCCTCCTCCGCCCCTACGTCTGGCGGCTACGTAGCCGGTGAGCCGCCGCAGCATTCCCCCTCCTCCGCCCCTACGTCTGGCGGCTACGTAGCCGGTGAGCCGCCGCAGCATTCCCCCTCCACCGCCACTACGTCTGGTGGCTACGTAGCCGGTGAGCCGCCGCAGCATTCCCCCTCCACCGCCGCTACGTCTGGCGGCTACGAAGCCGGTGAGCCGCCGCAGCATTCCCCCTCCACCGCCACTACGTCTGGTGGCTACGTAGCCGGTGAGCCGCCGCAGCATTCCCCCTCCACGGCCACTACGTCTGGCGGCTACGTAGCCGGTGAGCCGCCGCATTATTCCCCCTCCTCCGCCCCTACGTCTGGCGGCTACGTAGCCGGTGAGCCGCCGCAGCATTCCTCCTCCTCCGCCCCTACGTCTGGCGGCTACGTAGCCGGTGAGCCGCCGCAGCATTCCCCCTCCTCCGCCCCTACGTCTGGCGGCTACGTAGCCGGTGAGCCGCCGCAGCATTCCCCCACCACCGCCACTACGTCTGGTGGCTACGTAGCCGGTGAGCCGCCGCAGCATTCCCCCTCCACCGCCGCTACGTCTGGCGGCTACGTAGCCGGTGAGCCGCCGCAGCATTCCCCCTCCACCGCCACTACGTCTGGTGGCTACGTAGCCGGTGAGCCGCCGCAGCATTCCCCCTCCTCCGCCGCTACGTCTGGCGGCTACGTAGCCGGTGAGCCGCCGCAGCATTCCCCCTCCACCGCCACTACGTCTGGTGGCTACGTAGCCGGTGAGCCGCTGCAGCATTCCCGCTCCACCGCCACTACGTCTGGCGGCTACGTAGCCGGTGAGCCGCCGCAGCATTCCCCCTCCACCGCCACTACGTCTGGCGGCTACGTAGCCGGTGAGCCGCCGCAGCATTCCCCCTCCACCGCCACTACGTCTGGCGGCTACGTAGCCGGTGAGCCGCCGCAGCATTCCCCCTCCACCGCCACTACGTCTGGCGGCTACGTAGCCGGTGAGCCGCCGCAGCATTCCCCCTCCACCGCCACTACGTCTGGCGGCTACGTAGCCGGTGAGCCGCCGCAGCATTTCCCCTCCACCGCCGCCACACCAGCGTCACACACCTGAAGACTCCAACTGCTGTCCAACATACATCTTGCTGTGCCCGAAGTAGATCATGGCGTCTCATACAGAACAGCCTGGCTATTTGCTTGAGGTGAGTTGATCTGCATATGTATTATTTTAATTATTTCTAAAATAACGATGTTTTCAAACACTACACAGCTATTTCTCAATTACCTGCAAACGGATTTAAGTAAATGATGTAATTTTCGTGTTCTACATTAAATTTTAAATTAACAAGTCCAAGCTAGTCAGGTTTGCCTCATTTTGCAATAACAAATCGTGATTTTCAGTTATTTTTATTTTGTTTTTTTGAATTTGGTGTTGTTTGATAGGAAATTTTAAACGCTTAATAAAAGTGTACATGATATTTCTTCATAAAATTAGTAATTTTTAGCACAATTTCAATTCACAAAATTAAAATGGTCGCCATTTTGAACCTTTGTATTGGATTAGGATAATTGTCTTCCACCTTGGGTCTATTTCACTTCAACATTCATATAAAGTTTTATGTAACGAGTCAAATGGGTAGGGGGGTAAAAATATAACGATCTAGACCACGAACATTAAACAGCTAAACATAAGCTGTTGAGTAAGCCTAGTCGCGACGACACTAAACTGACGTCGTACCTAACCTCCAATTCCAAGACCGCAGACGACGTTGGTGTCAGTTTGGTTGTTTGGCTGTTCGACTGCGTCTGAGGCCGGGCTACGGGAGAGAAGATGAGCAGCGAGGTCACCTTTGAGCGGTACGCGGCTGTAAGCCTGTTAAAGCTACCATGCGCCTGCCTTCGCTGCCAGTTTTTTTTTGTTTCGGTAACTCGTTGACCAATCAGGAATCGTTTTAACTTTCGTCTCGATTCTGAGACGAAGGTGAAGTAAGAAGAAGTTTTGTGAAGTTTTCGTCATTCGTATTCCCGGCTTTTTCGCGAGTTCGTTCGTTCGTCTTGAATTCTAAGTGATTTCATTCAATTTCTTCGTCGTTTTTAAAGTTACGTTTCAGCAAGCTCTGAAAGCTTAAGTTCGAATAGTTTTGTAGTGAACTTGTGCAGGAACATAGTGGGTTATAATTTCGTCGACTGGTGAGTTTCGTAGTTAACTTCTCTGGTTTTCGTATATTACTTGACCAGCTTTCGTGTACGAAGCTTGGTTGAACTTGAAGACTAGGCCTGATACGCAGACCTAGTCACACGCCTTAACCAACTAATTTAGTAAAGTATTGCAGTTGGTGAAATATATTTTCGCTTAACGTTTCTTAATCCGTCTTGGGACTTTCTTTTTAAATTCTTAAACCCCTTTATAAAGTTCCCGAACGCCCCGAAGTTGGCCCCAGCAGACAGGTTTCTGCTTGATAATTATTGCAGAAGTTTGCTTAAGTTGAACACGTGGGGAAGTTGAAGTTTTAGTTTTTCTTTTTTCGTATCAGCTCTTGAAGCAGTTTTATTTTTAGTTTCAGTTTTTCTCCCGTTTCGTGTCTCACTTGGACAACTTAAGCCAACTCGTTTTCTTGTCTAGTAAATTCAGACTCTGTGGGAGTTAGGCTAGGTTAGGCCTATCTTGTACTAACCTTGTTTGTTTCAGGGTGACGACGTAACTCCGTAGGTAAGCGGAGTGCCTACTTAGCTTACTTGTTGATTTGTTAAGTTAGCTAGTAGTGTGTCATTTAGATATTTGCCCAC